TTCCTAAGAAGCGCTTTGTGCCAAACCCAATCGAATGCCTTCGCTATGTCCAACTAACGGCTAACGCCTCCCCCTTGGACAATATTTTGTTACGTGGTAGAGCCACGCTGCAGCTATATCAGTAGTATAGTTGTAGCACGATTGGGTCGGCTTGACCGGGGAAGGACCACGCTCTCACAGAATACCAGCATCAAATAGCAATTTAACACTGCTGTGTTTCGTATGGTGAGTGTTGAGAACCGGAGACCCTTTTTACTGGAAAAGAGGCATTCCATCTTAACGGGTGAGAACGCATCTGCGTTTTGATTCGCAAACGAAGATAAATATAGATGTCTATGGGCCACAGCAACCACTTACCATCAGGTGAACTATGTGCTCGTTTGTCACTCGACCCTTTATAAAAAGAAATACTGCCTTCGCCCATTTTTGAGTTAGGTAACCCAGAAGATCACCAGCCGAGCGACCGCGACGGAAACTGTACTGACGGTCACTAATCATCTGGTGATTCTCAAGGTACCGCTTGAGCTGGCAGTTAACATTGGACTCCGTTATTTTACAGATAAATGAGGTGATGGTGATAGGCCTATAATCTAACGGATCAGAGCGATTACGTTTTTTAGGGATCGGGTGCACGAAAACTGTCTTCCATAATTTCGGGACTACGCCTAGCGAGTAGTAGTACCAAAAAAGACCCGTTAAGACCGCTGCCAACACTGGAGCACACGTCTTCAGCACAATAGGAGGGACGCCATGAGGCTCACTCGACTTGTCTACGTCCATGAAGAGGAGTGCTCTGCGCACCGAGCGTTGGGTAAACAGTACATCATGCATGGAGCACTCACACCGCGGGATAGTCGGTGATGTATTCCTCCAGTCATCAAGAGTCGAGTTGGACGCAAAGAGAGAGTCCTGCAGATCGGTTTTATCCTTTGCGGCATAGGCCAGTGAGTCTGTACAGAGATGGGAGAGATGGCTGACAGAAGTTCCCTCGGACAGTCTTGGCGAGAGATTAAAATGCACTTGTTCCCAAAGGAAGACGAACTAGTTTCTCGCTAATTCTGCCGATGTGCTCTAACTTTGCCCTGAAAATGATTATTTTGAAGGACCTAGATGCGGAATTATACTTCTTTTTTAACGCGGTGGTATTTGCATCCAGAGAAAGTCGATGCGTGAGCCCAGGCCTGGTAGCACTCTTGCTTATAGCGTAATGCGATTTTGCTGGAACGACCAAACATGGCTGGGTTCTGCCGCCGATAGGTACCACAGATGATGGAATAAATAGTTCCATTCACTGTAGCATCACATCAGCGACAGAATAAGCAACAACGCTGGGATCATCCGGCGAGAAGCAAACCCGCCTCCAAAGGTAAGATGCAAAAAAAGATGGCATCATGTCCCAATCAGCTGACCTACAATGCCAGAAACGGCAGCAACCTGCAGGACACAACCGCGATGGGAGCATAAGCCTATGGGGAAGCATAAGGGGCATCGATGGAGACCTGATATCCGTCCGGATGAGAGGTCAGCAGGAGGTCCAACAGAGAAGGTACATTATTTTCCACATCTGGGATCAGCATAAGCGAGGTAACCAGTTGTTTCAGACCATATTCCAAAGCAAATTCATAAACAAATTTAACTCACATGATCGTTTAAACGAGAACCACGCCATTCAGCGTGCTAGGCGTTAAAATCACCAAGCATCACGATCTCTGCGGAAAGGACCTGTTGTAGCACGGAGTGTGCAGCAATTTGGACGTGGTCGATGAGTCGGTCTGTGTCAGCATTGCCGCTATGGGACCTATAGAAGCACCCGCAGACGCGGGGATAGTAGTCGCTGTCTACGCGCAGCCATAAAATGGACGGGTCAGTACCTTTAAGGCTGCCGAGGCATCAAAAACTGATGTTCTCTCTGAAGTACACGCAAACTGCAGCCTGAGGCACAAAGGAGTGTTCTTATCTGTACCGCGGGTAGGATAGATACGAAGTATCAGCGGGAGAGGACACCTGTATCTCGGTTAGAAAGAGCAAGGCCAGCTTCGCCGTTTCCAGATGGTAGTGGATGGCCTTAAGGTTTGAATGAAGTTCCCTAATGTTGCAAAAACTCACGGATACGTAGGTCACTCAATAAGTTTTGAGATGCTCGAAATTTAAAAATAAAACGCACCCGTGTTATATGATTTAAAAAAGGAAATTAATTTACAAATAAAACTCCATAAGCCAATTGCTCACTATTAAAAAAAAAACAAGTTCTATTAATTTTCCTGCAACTCTTTCCGTGCTTTTCATTTAAAACATACTGATCTTAACCGTGAACATTTGCGTGCTATGATACATTATGATTTTAAATTTGGTTTGACCGAACAATTAAGTTTACAACGGTTACAGTCGGCATAAGGGGACTCAGCTCCATAACGCGCAACAATTTCTACATAGTTTGCTGAATTCGAAAGAAGTAAAATTAATCTTAAATATGACCAAAGAACCAGGGCCCCGCAAACAGCAGTAACGGCAGAAAATGTATGGAGTTCTGAAACGATGCCTCCCAAATGTTGGTGCGAGAAGACCCACGAATCACATATACGGACATTGAAAAGATTGTAGGCATTAGTTCGGGGAGCATTCATATCATCCTACATCAACATCTTGGAGTGAGGAAGCCTTGTTGTCAATGGATCCCTCGTTTGCTCTCCGAAAGCGAAAAATAGACTCGTGTGGATTGGTGCCACGAAATGCGTCTACGTTTTGAAAATGGGGCATCTAGGCGTGTTTCAGAAATTGTTACTGGTGAAGAGACACATATCTATCAATATGATTCGGAAAATAAAATTCAATCATCGATATGGTTCTACTCAGAAGTACAGTTACCGACAAAACTGCAAAGACCTCGCAACGTCGGCAAAAAAATTGTGGCTACTTTTTTTCGCGGAGCGGACATTTGTCGACGACAATGCTGGAAAATTGTAGGTCAGTCAAATCTGAATAGTATACTACAGTTCCATTACCCAAATCTTTTCAAGCTGTGCGGGAGAAAGGACCAAAGACCTGGCTTAGGGGAATCATGCTGCGTCACGATAATGCCTCACCACATAGCTCCCTTAGCACAAAAGCATTTATTGAGGAATCTGGTGTTGAAACTCTAAGTCACCCACCCTACAGCCCTGACTTAGCTCCTTGTGATTTCTTTTTGTTCCCAAGAGTCAAAAAAAAAAGTAAAAGCCAAGTTTTTTTCAAGCGCCGAAGAAACCGTGGCTGCCTACGATTAAGCGATTTCCGACCTGTCAGATCAAGACTGTCAAAAGTGTTTTCAGAGTTGGTTTAGGCGAATGTTATTATATTATTGGTATTAGGGTTAAATCCGCGCACGACCTTTGCCCTATGCGCTCAAGGACCGCGTGGATGCTGAGCTGGATGCGATGCTTCGGGAGGGGGTTATTGAACCCGTGGAGAGCTCTGACTGGGCTACACCTCTGGTGCCGGTACGTAAGGCGGATGGAGGGCTCCGAATTTGTGCAGACTATAAAGTGACACTGAACCCCGTATTGCTGGTCGATAGATTTCCCTTGCCTAGGATTAATGATTTGTTAGTAGGTATGAATGGCGCTAAAATATTCTCTAAAATCGATCTGTCACAAGCCTACAATCAGATCGAACTAGATAACTCTAAAAACCTTACCGTTATAAATACACATAGGGGCTTATTTACGTATAACAGGCTAGTATATGGGTTGTCATCAAGTCCAGGAATTTTCCAGCGTATAATGTCAAATCTTTTTCACGATATCGAAAAGGTAGAAGTATTTTTAGACGATATAATAATAGGTTCTTCTAATAAAAGAGAGCATTTACAAATATTGGAGACGGTGCTTAGTAGATTACGTAAAAACGGAATGAAGCTTAGGAAAGACAAATGTTTATTCATGGTGGACGAGGTCAAGTATTTAGGATATATTATTTCAAAAGATGGCATTAAAGTTGATCCTGACAAGGTAGCTGCTATAGTAAAAATTCCGCGCCCCAAGGACGTTTCGGACTTAAGATCATTTTTAGGATTAGTCAATTTTTACGCTAAGTTCATTAAAAATTTAAGTACTACCTTAGCCCCACTTTACGGCTTATTAAAAAAGAGTGTTACTTGGGACTGGGACAGAAGTTGCGAGGACTCTTTTAAAAAAATTAAAAAGGTCTTAACCAGTGCGGAAGTATTATTGCATTACGATCAAAACAAACCGTTAATACTGACGTGGGACGCGAGCGCTCGAGGTATAGGAGGCGTGCTCACTCAGCCGTGCGCCGGCGCAGCGGGAAGCGAGCGGCCGGTGGTCTATGTGTCGAGAGCTCTCAGCGACGCGGAGAAACATTATTCACAAATTGATCGCGAGGCTTTAGCAATTGTTTTCTGCTTAAAAAAATTGCATCAATACCTGTATGGTCGACGGTTCACCTTACGTACTGATCACAAGCCGCTTGTCAGTATTTTTGGCCCAAAACATGGCATTCCTTTAATGGCTGCGAGCCGATTGCAGCGTTGGGCGATTACGGTATCCGCTTACTCTTATGACATAGAGTACGTTAGTAGTAAACAGAACTGTGCGGATGGCTTATCTCGTCTACCGGTATCGGTTCAATCCACAAAGAAAGAATGTTTAGATTTACCTGAACAAACGTATTTACATTTCGCTCAAAGTGAAATGTTACTAGATTATAATGAAATTAAAAAACAAACCCAGCGCGATCCGATTTTAAGTAGAATTATACTATACTTAAGAGAAGATTGGCCCATCGATAATGAGGTCAAATCATTGCAACCGTATTTTAACCGAAAAAAGGAACTATACGAAGAACTAGGGTGTATCATGTGGGGTCATAGAGTAGTCATACCGGAGAATTGCAGGGGTAGGGTGTTAAACGAACTCCACGAATGCCACATGGGAATCGTCAAAACGAAGGCGGTAGCTTGAAGCTATGTGTGGTGGCCGGGGATCGATGAGGCAATCGAAACGATGTGTCGAGCGTGCGTCGTGTGTGCGGCCGAGGCGGACGCGCCCCAACGGCACACTCCAAGCCCGTGGCCATGGCCGGCTAAGCCTTGGTCTCGTATACACATAGATTTTTTAGGGCCAATTTTCAATAAAATTTACTTGGTAATAATTGATGCCAGAACTAAATGGCTAGAGGTTTTTTATGTACCGAGTACAGCAGCTAGCCACACTATAGTTAAACTTTCCGAAGTTTTTGCTAGGTGGGGTCTACCTAAACAATTAGTATCAGACAATGGGCCGCCATTTATCAGTAGGGAATTTTCTCAGTTTTTAACAAATAATGGGATACAGCATGTTTTCACCGCACCGTACCACCCGGCTTCAAACGGTGCCACGGAAAACGCAGTCCGCACTGTCAAGAAAGTTATTAAAAAGGCAGTGAGGGAAAATAAAGATATAAATTTATTTTTAAACACTTTCCTATTGCATTATCGAAATACCGAACATTGTACTACGGGCGAAAGTCCCGCTTCTCTCATGTTAGGAAGAAGATTACGTACTAAACTAGACGTACTTAGACCGGATATTGAGAATAAAATTATTAAAACTCAAATAAACCAGAAAGAGAACACTCCCACTGGTGAACGTGGCCTGCAGCCGGGTGAGGATGTATGGCTTCGCCGTAATCAGGGGAGTGACAAGTGGACAGCCGGACAAGTGACGCAACGTTTGGGCGTAACGGACTACAAAGTTTTAGACACTATAGGTAAGGAGTCACATAAGCATATAGACCAGCTAAAACGTAGAATTAGGAGTTCACTGATTTGTCCCCGTAGTAGTAATAGTCAGCCAAATTCGAGTTCCGAGTCGTTGTCTTGCACCGGTGCAGAGGAAATTAATGCGCCTAGAATAAACCCTGCCGTAAAAGACACCGGGAGGAAATCAAAAGCACCGGAGGGAACCGAAATACACTACAGAACTTTGTATAGAGCATGATGGAGAATATTTTGAAAAGATGTGAAATAAATATTAATAGTATCTAGAACACTTTTTGTATATCTTAAAACTTATTGAGTGACCTACGTAGCGTCTTTGACTTATTACTCCGTTTGCCTCGAGCAGGTTTAGCCTCGAGCGGAATGTTGCCTCTTTCCCCAAATACGCGGGGCAGCCTGAGAACCTACGCTCAGGAAGAGTAGGGGAGCTTGAGCGTGGATGCTCAGCGAGGGATTCTCCGTCACAGGGGGTGCTGGTACCCTCCTGGGGTTAGTATATTATTTAACTCCGCTACCATGTTAAGGGGGGGGGGGGATTCGGCCTCCGGCCACCTGCACTCACCAGACGACATGCAGAAGCAGAGCTGCTACTTCTCGCTGGTCTTCTGTGAGGTCGTGGTACCACCCCGCATATGCTGCCGCGTGGCTCTACCACTCTTATAATTTACTACCAAATTTGCGCAATCAACACTTGGTTTCTATACAACAGATAAGAGATTACCCTAAATGATCAAGCTCCAACTTCTTTTTAGTTTGTAACAAGCACTATCACCAATTATCTGTGCTATGGTATGGGGCACCATATTGCCTTAGTGGCATTAAATATTAAAAATATTTGAAATGAAAACTACAATTCTATGTCTAAATTTAAGTACTTTATCTAAAGTTAAGTAAGTATCTACTCGTAATTACATTAACAAAATGAAAGTGAAATTACATATCTATATTATGTCTTATCCTGCAAGCAAATAAAAAATAAAACTAAATTCGACCAAGGAGAGTGTTTTGACCTTTAAATTTATAATAAGTTTCATCAGGCCCAAAACTAGTTGAGTTTTCTATCGAGAAATTCTCAGTAGCAGCTGGGAACGGTGATTTTAGCGGTGTTTCATCAATGTGCCTCAGAAAACCCTTAAAGCCGTTGGTTCTGCATCTGATCTCTTTATATTTGTGTCAGATTACCGTCTCATCGGACTGTGGACAGAGAGTGAAGAAATAGAATGTGCACTTATGTTTGCGCAAACACTCGTGATTCAAAACCCTATTATGCGTCATTTAAGTAAAATGTATTCTCTTGGTACTTACGCACCTATTACAGAACATTATTAGGTACTCTTTACCGAAAGGGTCGTGCACATCTCAATGCCCTGCATAAATGGCTAGTCTGCGTTGAGACTGGTCGCCATGACCGTAATTCAGTCTAAAGGGTTTGATGGGTATGTTGGATACAGTAAGAAAATAAAAAAGTTTAAAATATACAGCGCTATATACGCTTAACACTTAAATACTTAAAAGGAGAAATACTTAAAATGTAAATATAACGCATTGTAAAACTTAATAAAATTATATTTAAAACCTTTTAATGTAACCTATGGTGAAACAAAACCATTTAATTCAGCACTAACACATAAGTAAGAAAATAAAAAAGTTTAAAATATACAGCGCTATATACGCTTAACACTTAAATACTTAAAAGGAGAAATACTTAAAATGTAAATATAACGCATTGTAAAGCTTAATAAAATTATATTTAAAACCTTTTAATGTAACCTATGGTGAAACAAAACCATTTAATTCAGCACTAACACATACATGAATACACGATTCATTAGGGTTCTTTCAGTGAGCTCTTGTGTTACCCAAATATCGAGCTTTTTTCTAGAGTCAGACTTTTTTAAATGAGTGAAAACTGTTTGTGGTCAATCCTTAATTTCTCGGCTATGTCATAACTATTTATATACCGATTTTGTTCCACTTTTTCAAAAATGGCATCGACTTTATACATATGAGGGTGACCATAGCGGGCTGTAAATTTGACATCAAAATTCCTGGACTAAAAACGCTTGAACGAACTTTATGCCACTTTTACACACACAGATTAGGTAAGTCCAACTTCGACCGAGAGGTCAATCGACGGATTCAACTCGGCTGGGCAGCGTTCGGGAAGCTACGACAAATCTTCTCGTCAGACATACCTCAAAACCTTAAAACGAAATTGTACAACCAGTGCGTGTTGCCAGTGATGACTTACGGAACTGAGACGTGATCCTTCACTGCTGGCCGTATGAGGAAGCTCAAGGTCGCTCAGCGAGCTATGGAGAGGGCTATGCTCGGAGTTTCTCTGCGTGATAAACTTAGAAATTAGTATATCCGCAGTAGAACCAGAGTAACCGACATAGCCCAACGGATTAGTAAGCTGAAGTGGCAGTGGGCCGGCCATATGGCTCGAAGAACCGACAACCGATGGGGAAGAAAGGTTCTCGAGTGGCAGCCTCTTACCGGTAGGCGAAGTGTAGGGCGACCCCCACGAGATGGAGTGACGACCTGGTAAGACATGCAGGAAGTCGATGGATGCAGGTGGCTCTGGACCGTGCTTTGTGGCATTCCTTGGGGGAGGCCTATGTTCAGCAGTGGACTTATGAAAGGCTGTAATGATGATGATGATAATGATTAGGTTACTAAACGTCCCAAATTTTTTTCCGCTGCTTGAGTAACATTTTTCCCTATTTTGTAATAAATTTTCAGAATGTATTGAATTTCTTCTTTAGATTCACTCATTTTGGCGGACAGAAAAACGATTTAAAAATGGCGGAAAACTGTTTTTTATTTTTTATTTTTCTTTTTCTTAATGCCTATGTGTATTGATATTAAAACCAGCCAGGTACAAATAGTTCAATTATAAACAAACAAAATACGAAGAAACTTTTTCCCCGACCTTTTAGTAGATAAATAGTTAAAACTGTGACACCTGTCGGTACATGGCAAACTAAATCTACGGTTTACTAAATTCTATTCTGTTTAATTAAACATGAATTTTCATAAACGCTATTTCTATGCGAAATAAAAACTATATATTATTATAATAATTTATTATCAAAGCCAAAATTTTTTTCAAACCTAGTAAGCTCATGTCAGGGAACCAGATTATTTAACAGAAAGGCCTACGTACCTATTTTACTTAATAATTGTCTACTTTAATAGTTTTTCTATTTAACATTCACAAATTTTATGTTTGCTCCCTCAATACAAGGATGTTTATACTCAAGTACTGGCTTTAAAAAAATGTCAAGTTGGAAAAAAAATAGTGTCAATTTCAATCTTCTAATCGATATCCCACAACTGTTTCGAGTTTTTTTTTTGGACGTCCAAGCACAATGGACGCCAGGTAGGCTGAATTAGTGTTAGAGCATTTTGAAGAAGAGCCGACCACAAGTACGAGGCGAGCCGGTACAAGATTCAATATTAACCATGTTGCAGTTTGGCGAATTCTTCGTGACGACAATCGTCACCCTTATCACTATCGCCATTCACAGGAGCTGATACCCTCCCATTTTGCACCCAGGAGGAACCTCTGCGAGTGGTACCTCAGGCAGTTAGAGGAAAACCCTAATTACGTAAACTATGTCCTTTGGACGGACGAGGCAACATTCACGAGGTCAGGACAGGAGTCAGGGCTCGCGTGAATCCACATGCTTCACGGCAGGGCAGATTCCAACATCAGTGGCGGCTGAATGTGTAGGCTGGCCTTTATGATGGGCATGTCATCGGTCCTGCCATTATGACATCACGTCTGAACGGTAGCAACTATCTAACGTTTTTACAAACGGAATTCGAAGAGGCGATTGACGACTTTTCTGTCGCTGACTGGGATTACTTTGAGAACCGAAAGAAACATGGTGTTTCAGCATGATGGAGCTCCGGCACATTTTGCTCGCAACGTACGAGAAATTCTTAACGTTCGCTTTCCGCGAGGATAGATTGGCCGCGGGAGACCGGTACTATGGCCTGCTCGTTCTCCGGACCACACACCGTTGGACTTCTTTTTGTGGGGTTATGTGAAGGGCAGAGTGTATTTCTCCGATTGCACAGATTGAACAGCGTGTTAGATCGGTTTTCGCATCAATAACACCGACGATGGTGTGAAATGCCACACAAGCCATATCCCGACGAGCGAGGTTGTGTATTGAGCAAGGCGGAAGCACACTTTGAGCCGTTTCTGTAAATTTAACGTTTATTATGAAAAAGTAAGTGTTCGTTTAGGTTGTTTCGTTAAATTAGGTCTTTTAAATTTTTGTTGTTCCGTGAATTTGGTAGAAATGTAGGCAAATTCTGCGTAGTTTACTCTTTAATTTTACTGAAATAGGGTTTGCACATCGGTTTAAATAAGAATGTTTTTTTTTGGGTATATTATACAGCGTTACTACGGTTCTCAAATATTGTGAATGGACTCGTTATAAGGCCCCATTTAACCTCCTTTCGGCTTTACGGGTTGTTTTGTAACACCCGGTATAAATTAACATCATGCACTTTATAACTAAGTAAAAATTTTAATATTAAAATTAAGATGGTAGAGCCACGCGGCAGCTTTTGCTGTCGCACGGATGGGCCGGCTCGAACCGGTGTGGTACCACGACCTCACAGAAAACCAACGTGAAGTAGAGGTTTACCTCTGCGTTTCGCTTGGTGAGTGCAGGTGGCCGGAGGCCCTTTTTACTGAAAATGAGGCATTCCATCTTAGTCCTCATGGGTGACAACGCATCTACATTTTGATTTGTAATAGAGCATAGATGTAGATGTCTATGGGCCGCAGCAACCACTTACCATCAGGTGGACTGTGTGCTCGTTTGTCACCATTATCCTATAAAAAAAAAGTAAATAAAAGAAAAAAATGTTAAGGGAACAAATGTGTCAGGACAGCATGTCAAAGGCGATCGCGATGGACATTTCCTCGCCCCAAGAAAACCACAATCTGATAATGCATATTATGTCGCAGTAAGATAGTTAAGGACGTGATATAGTTATATCTCTAGGAAAATAATTATATCACGGCTGCTACTCGTATATACCGTAATATGAAAGCGGTTCGTCTACTATCTGACTAGACTAATCTTGTGAAATAAGTATAATTGTAGTTTGTTTATAATTTGTTAGTCATAACTACTTTTGACTTATACTTTTTGAATTTTTTAAAATTAAAAGTATTAATTGTTTCAATATTAC